ATTACATTTTTTTGTTCTGTTTCATATATGAAATGGGTTATCTATGCATAGTGTAGTTGGATGTTGGATTTTTTTTTTCCAGTCCACTCAGAGTCCTTTTTACTTGGTATGTTTTAGCCTGTTGACCTTTAAAGTGATTATTGGCACAAATGGTTTGGTATCTACTAAGTTTATTCCTATTTACTCATAGTTCTTTGTGTCATGTGCTCCTCTGCTCTTAACTGAAGATTTTATAAGACAGCATCTTTGCCTTCTCATAGCATGTCAACTAAATCAGTTATACTTCTTTCTCAGCTATATTTTTAACTGCTTACCCCTGAGTTTGAAACACACATTTATAACTAACTCCAAGTCATTTTCTAAATAAACCATGCTATTTCACAGATAGTGCCAATAATGTATAAAAGTATATCCATTTTCTCTCTCCTATCTCTTAAAACATTGTCATCATTGATTTTACTCTTACATACACTATAATTGCTGAATCTATTCAGACTTATGTTCAACTTTCTTTTTTATCTGTTAGTTTAAGAATAGGAAAAGTGGGGCTGGGAAAGTGGCTCAGTGGTAGAGTGCTTGCCTTGCATGCATGAGGCCCTGGGTTCCATTCCTTAGCACCACATAAGCAAAAAGAAAAAAGCCAGAAGTGGCACTGTGGCTCAAGTGGTAGAGCGCTAGCCTTGAGCTGAAGAGCTGAGGGACATTCCTTAGCACCACATAAGCAAAAAGAAAAAAGCCAGAAGTGGCACTGTGGCTCAAGTGGTAGAGCGCTAGCCTTGAGCTGAAGAGCTGAGGGACAGCACCCAGGCCCAGAGTTCAGGCCCCACGACCGGACCCAAAAAAAAAAAAAAAGACTAGGAAAAGTAACAATTTTATTAAAGTGTTCAGTACTTTCTTTTGATTGACATATAGCAGTTGCACATATTTATGGGGCCCAGTGTGGTATCAGTACATGCTACAATGTGTAATGATGAAGTCAGAGTGCCCAGCAGATTACTGAACTCACTCCTCCTCAGGAAATGTGCTTCAGTACTCCTCACCCAGCTCCTCTCTCCTTCCATCTTCTACCATTCCTAGTTTCTTTTTTTCTGTTGGTTGTGGAGCTTGAACTCAGGGCTTGGGCACTATGCCTGAGCTTTTCTGCTCAAGGCTAGCCCTCTACCATTTTGAGCCATAGCTCCACTTCCAATTTTCTGATAGTTAATTGGAGATAAAAGTCTCACAGACTTTCCTGCCTGGGCTGGCTTTGAGCCATGATCCTTAGATCTCAGCCTCCTGCATACCTAGGATTACAGGCATGGGCCACTGGTACCTGGCCTGGTCTGCTTCCTTGTCACTGGTCTGCTCTTCCTGAAATTAGCATTCTTAGCTTCTATACATAAAGAATAAACATTACTATTGATCTTTTTGTATCTGATATATTTAATATTCTCCAACCTCATCCACATTGTCACAAACAGTAGGACTCCATTCTTCTTTTATGGTTTAAGATATATGTGTGTGTGTGTGTGTGTGTGTGTGTGTAATATAGTAATATATATACACATGTACATACATCACACATGCACACCATGTTTTTGTTATCCATTCATCTGCCAATAGAAACTTTTGTTGATTCCATACTAACCAAATAGCATAGATATCACTGAAATTGTTTCATTTCCTCTGGGTATATAACCAGCAACGTGATTTCTGGGTCCTATGTTAATTCTGTTAATTTTTCAAGGATTCTCCATACTGTTTTCCAAACAGTTTTGGTAAGAGCTAGTGTTTGATGGTGTCTTCACTTTGCATCTCCTTGGTGGCTAGTGAGACTGGATACTTTCTCCTGATTGTGCTGATCATGCATACATCTTTTCAGACATGTCTGTTCCAAGCTTTCCCATTTTCAAATGAGCTTACTTGGAGGGGCTGTTGCTACTGTTGTTTTTTAATTCCTCATATGTTCTGGATGCTAATACTTTGTCAGATGAATACTTTCCACATACTTTCTCCCATTCTATAGGTGAATCTTCCAGATCTTATGACATTAATTTAATACTTAAATATATGTGATCTCATCTCTGTCCCAGAGTCTAAATTGGAACTTTGTATGTGTGTGTGTATTGTATATATAGTGTATGAGTATACATGTATTATATATACATGTGTATATACGTATGTACACACATACATATATCTAATGGATAACATGTCCATTTGACTAGACTTAGCTACATTTCCCAGAACTGGAAAATTTGCTATGTGATATTCTTGGAAGATTTGGAGGGTAGAAGCAAAGAGGTTTTGTGGGATATTCACGTGTTCTCATGAACTTTGTCCTGTGGTGTGGGTTTCACTCTGTGACCAGCATCCTAGTTTTTGCATGATTCTCACCGCAAGGTCTGAGCTAGTAAGATTGATGCCATTTTTTTTTGTCTTCCCTTATGGCCCAGCATGAACTCTAGTTCCACTAAACACTGAAAACTGATAAAGGCATTGAGAAAATGAGAGGGTTTTTTTTTTTTTGCTGGTCCTGTGGCTTGAACTCAGCCTGGGTGCTGTCCCTGAGCCTCTTTGTGCTCAAGGCTAGCACTCTACCACCTGAGCTACAGCACCACTTCCAGCCTTTTCTGTGTTGTTTTTAATTGGAGGTAAGAGTTCACTGACTTTTCTGTCTGAGCTGGCATCAAAACACAGTCTTCAGATCTCAGCCTCCTGAGTAGATAGGATTCCAGGAGTGAGCCCCGAGTGTCCAGCTAAGAGAGAACTTTTTAAATGAGAGATACTTCCATTTCCTGGAGTTCATTTTGATAAATATTATATGATCAGAAGCACTTAAGCACTGTGCCTTTGTGTTCCTCCCCTAAAAGTATCCTCCTTTGGTCCTCCTGTGTGTGAACGCCTAGAGTCCTGTATAATTTATCATGTCTCCGTGCATTTTAGATCTAGCTTCCACATATGAGAGAAAGCATGCTCCATTTTTGTCTCTCTGAGCTTGGCTTGCTTCACTTAACATGATTTGTTCTAGGTCCATCTGTTTCCTTGTAAATGACATAATATTATTCTTTCTAATGGCTGTATAAATTCCTTTGTATATAGGTACCACATTTTTTGGATTCCCTAATGTATTGCAGGGCCTGTGGGCTGTTTGTATAACTTTGCTATTGTGAAGAGTGCAGCAGTGAGCATGGATGTGCAAATGTCTTTATGGTATCCTGGCTTGTGATGCTCTGGGTAGATGCCCAGGAGTGTATGGCTAGGTCATAGGGAAGATCTGTTTAGCTGGAACCTCCAGACTGTTCAGAGTGGTTGTACTAGTTTACATCCCTACCAGCAGTGCAGTAGGATTTCTTTTCCCCACATCCCCGCCAGCATTTCTGGTTATTAGATTTCAAGATGTTGGCCAGTCTTAACTAGGGTGAGACAGAAGAATCTCATGGTTGTTTGATTTGCATTTCCTTTATAGCCAGAGATAATGAACATTTCCTCGTGTGTTTCTTTGCCGTTCTTGCTGCCTCTTCTGAGAAGTCTCTCCTTAGCTCCTCTGCCCATTTAGTGAATTTTTTTTAACTTTGGGAGGGGTTAGTTTGTTTGTTGTATGTCTTTTTTGTGTGTGTGAAAATACCATATAGAGGGGTTACAATTACATGGGCAAGGTAATGAGTACATTTCTTATCAAGCATTGTTGCCTTCTCCTTTGTTTCCCCTTCCCATATCCTCCCTGCCCCCGCACCGCCAAAGTTGTAAAGTTCGTTTTTTGACATAACGTCTTGTACATCTCATTGTTGCAATGGGTCCACCTGTATCTCTATTTAAACAATGTGTTTTTTCCCTTCCCCTCCACAAAGTATACCAACATCAAATACAGTGAAACTATGCAAAGAAAAGGCAAAGTATTTTTTTTTTTTATCAAAGGTAATTTTGTGATCACGGGCAGCCTCCTAGTAGTTAGGGTTACAGGTGTGAGCCACCAGTGACCAGCTACCGAAGACTTTTACATAAAGATTTATAGAAGTTTTATTTGCAGTGGGTGCAAGCTACAATCAGCCCAGCTGTCTGTGAGGTGGATAACTTGTACAGTGGAATATTACCCAGCAGTCACACTGGGGGCTCATGGTATATGCATGGTATGGTTGATATCAAAGCAATTAGGTTGGACGAAAGAAGCCAGACAAAAGAGGGCATAGTTTATGACTCTACATAAAATCCTGGGAACTGTAAGTGAACTTCTCACAACAAACAGCATATGAGTCACGATAGGCAATAGGAGAGAGTTACACCGGCGTGGGTCAGGGTTGTGGCTGGGTGGTAGACCACTTGCCTCGCATGCACTGTCAAACGTGTAGTGTGTGTGTGTGTTCATATGTGTACACACAAGCACGCACATATATATGCAAGTGGTGGGCATGTTTCCTATTTTGACAGTAGTAGATGCCAGTCATGCCCCAAAGCGTTTGTATTTTATTGAAAGTGCAGTAGTGTGTGTGTGTGTGTGTGTGTGTGTGTATGTGTGTGTTTGGAGAGCAAATACAGCAGTGTGAGAAGAAAGGGTGATGGGGAGGGCAGTAGATCAGTAGATATGGATAGTTGATAGGTACGGTCAGGACAATCCTTAGCAATGACCTGATGTGTGGACTGATGACTAGGTTCCTATAATGGTTCTGAGTCTGTGTGCTGCACTGGCTTGGCTGCCTCCGCAGGATGCTGCTGTCTGCTTGCCACCAGAGAAGAGCGGCGCAGCTTTCTTTCAGTTTGGCCCTCCCACCCTAGGTTTTAGTTCTCCTGCTGTGTCCCATTTCACCTGACATCTCCAGCCTCATGCTCAATAACCAAGCACTCCCATTCTGCCTGTAGACTTGACTGGAGACACCGAATGCCTCTGTCCTCACGGGCACTTGGTGACTCTGTCTCCTGGTCTTCGGCCCTGTGTACCTTGCTGCTCACACTCAGATTTTTCCCTAGAAGTGAAGCTTTCTGAATTGAAATCACTTAACAGTGCTCTTTCTCCCTTCTTGCAGCTTGTGCCTCCTTTTAAGCCTCAAGTAACCTCTGAGACGGACACCAGGTGTTTCGACGAGGAGTTTACAGCACAGACCATCACCATAACGCCGCCTGAGAGATGTAAGTGACTCCCCAGCCGCATGCGATCCCAAGACAGAGCCCACGCTGATGCGCATTCGTTCTGTTTTAAAGTTACAACTAAGAGGAAATAGCAGAGGTGACGCAGAGAAGCTTCTCTGGATCAGAAAAACCACATGATTACAGAGTAACTAGTCCTTTCTCACTACTCTACAGTAGATTCTTAGGACTCAGCTGAGAAGATTTGAGTCAGGAGATGCCCCATCACAGGCCCCACTCTTTCACACGCCATCAGCCATCTGCCCCTCTCTACTTACTTAGAAGTTTGAGTTCACTTTAAGTTGCATTATTCCTTTTAACTGACTTCTTTTAAGTACCTATATCTGTGAAGACATAATTTCATTTGCTGTTAGTATTTGGTACACATACATTGAAGTACAAATTTATTAAACTGTATATTCATTCAGATCCTCAAATCATTCCACATAACATGTGCCCCCAATTTGAGAAATGGCATAAGCAAGTGGGATTTGGTGAACGCAAGCCATTCCCGGCTGTAGTGCATCCACGCTGACACATGCGAATCGTTCTCAGCTGCAGTGCATCCACACTGACACATGTCGTGCTGATGGAGGAATGCAGACAGGATTGAGACTAGAGAACTCTTTGGATAGAGTTCTTCAAGGTACATGCATACTAGGCTCATATTGGCGTGTTTTTTGTTTGTTTCTGTGGAGCTGGGATTGAACCCAGGCCCTTGAGCTTACTAGGCAAGTGCTTTCTCACTTTGACCTTACCCTCATTTCTTTTTGTTTGTGCCATTTTGGCCTGGGCTCAGGACTGGCCTTGAACTTTGAGTTCTCAAACCTCCACCTCACAACCAGCAGGGGTGACAGTCATGTGCCACCATTGCCCAGCTCATGTTAGTGTTTCTGTACTTTGTGTTTTCCTCTGCTTAAGTTAGTAGTCACTTGCGCTGTCTGTGAAAGGGGAGATGGGAGTGAAATACTGTCCCCTCAGTCATCTTCCTCCACTGATTTTATTGTCAAAACATAAACTAGGAGTTTGTTGTTTTTGTGTTGGTACTGAGTCTTGAACCCAGGGCCAGCCACTCTCTTGTTCTTACTCATGCTGGCTATACTTGAGCCACACCTCAAGTCCAGACGTCTTTCTGGTTAATTGGATTTGTCTGCCCAAGCTGGCTTCAAACCTCGATCTCAGTTTCTAGAGTAGCTAGGATTATAGGGGTCAGCCACCAGCTTAGTTCATAAGAGTTTTTAATCTGGGTCTGGACCCTGGCAACAAGGAGATTATATGTACTGTGAAATTGAAGACAAAGTGCCTGTCTCTTTCTTTGCTTTTTTTAATTCAAAAGAAGAACCTATTACCTTTCAGCTCAAAAGTGAAGAAATTGAAGCCCAAAGAGAACTTGAGCTGTTCTGAGGTTCCACACATCAGGCCAGCCTCAGCTGGGAGGCCAGCCCACCACCTGGGCTGGTGCCTGCTGAGTTCTTGGTGTCAATGTGTTGAAGGGGCAGTGTGTGCCATTGATAGAGTTCCAGAGTGACAATCAGAAACGGTGGAGTTGTGAAGAAGTAGCCAAAGGCGTGGATGATGGGTATGGGTCTTGACCAGGCCCCAGCACGGAGCCAGGTCAGCGCCGGTCAGCTCTCCCTGCCAGCCCTTTGCTGGGCTCTGCCATTTGGATATGATACTGGTTGTAATCAGACCATCATTCTTGGTCTAAAGCCTTCCAGATGCGTCTGAGGGGCTGCATGTCCGCACCTGTCACTCTGGCTCCCTGGCCTGCTCAGATCTTGCCCAGCTTGCTTGCCTTTCCTGGTCCTGTTTGTTCCCATCTTGTGTTCCAGCTACACCATGGACATGCCATGACTCCATGTGCCTTAAACTTCAGTGTTTGCTGTTCCTCAGCCTAGAATGCTCCTTGTCCTGTGTATTTGTGTGGATGGCCATCACTTTTTCAGAGCGCTGCCTTTGAGTCCTAGGGACAATACTGTCTGACCACACCCTTGACTCTTAGTCCTCTTAAGTGAACTTGCCAGTACATTTCAGGTTGTATGTTTTCTATTCTGCTAGAACACAACAGCTTGTAAGAGAAAGGCTCTTGTGTCACTGACCATGGCATAGCCCCTATCCTTTCCTGGGGCAGATGTTCAAGAATCTGTAGACAAGTGATAGGAGTGGAGGGCCCAGGCTGCCGCTGAGCTTCCCCAGTGCACTTTGGGATACAGTGGTCATGTTTTTTAGGAGGGTCTTGCTAAATAAATAGCTCAGGCTCCCCTGAACTCATGAGCTTGTCTGCCAAGCTTGGTGAGAAGGTCTCTCACCCCTGCTTAGCCTCTTCCAAGGTCCTTTCTTAAACAGCTTTGGGGTTTGCGGGCTTGGTTTTTTAGGACAGCAGAACGTGTTATTGTGGAGTCATAGAAGTCGGTGGGCACTGTATGTTCAGCTGTGAGCAGGTAACTATGTCAGAAAGTTAAAAGCAAAATCTCAGTGTGGGAAACATGAAAAGCCCTGGGATCTGGCCAGGGAGCTGCTTACTGACCTCCCCGCTAGCTGTCCTCAGAGTGGGTTGTGATGGGGTCAGCTGGGCGTGACAGCCAGCTCCAGCCCCGCCCGGCCGCAAGGCCAGTGCGGGTGCGCGAGTTTGCCGTGGGGAAGACTGACCAGAGCCGGGGCTGGGAAGGCCTCCGCCCGCTGGTGTCACCACTTAGGAGCGCTGCCTAGCTGCCAGTCGTTCTGAGGTGGCCTCGGATGTCAGGCCCCAGAGCCAGTACGGCCCACAGCCCCCCTGGCCCCCGCGCGCACGCGTGGACACGCACACACCAGGCCCCGGCCCCGAGCGTGCCAGGCAAGTGCTCTGCCGCTCAACGCAGCCTGAGTCTGCCTTGTTAGTCCGGTCTGAAAGTTTGGGATGAGACTGAAGTGTAGAATGTAATCAGCCACAGAAACCTGCCCGAAGGCGTCCCTGTCTGTGCGCGGCCTGCTGAGCCGCAGCCGGGCGGGCCGCGCGGCGCCGAGGAGCCCGCCAAGGCCGTTCGCCGCCCGGGTGCGGCCCTTGAGTGCTTCTCCTCGAGGGAGGCGCCCGCCACCGGAAGTGGAGCCTCGGCCCCTTCTCAGATTTGGATGGTTCATCAGAGACCCGAGTCTTCCGGCCCGGGCTGGCTTTGAACCGCCATCCTCACCTCTCCATGTCCCGACTACAGCGCTGGGCCCTGAGGGGAGGCTCTAGGCCGCGCCGGGCCCTGGGCGCCGCCCAACGGCCAGGCCTCCCTCGCCACCTCGGCCTCCCAGAGCGAGGCCCAGGTGTTCTAGAACACACCAGCAGGCACAACAGGAAAGCGAACTGTGCCGCTTTCACGGGCGGGGACCCCACGTGTCCTCCCTGGTGCTCCTTCTCTGGGCGACTGCGGACGGGGCTCTTGTTAGGTGCACGTCCTTGCCGTCCTCCACAGAGGGGGCTTCTCCCAGCTCTGGTGGCTTGACCGCCGGGGATCCGCGCATGCGCAGGGCCAGGATCGGGAATCCGCGCGTGCGTGGGGCGGGCGGGACGCAGCTCTGCGGTGGCTGCCTGGCCCACCCCGCCCCGCCGGGGTGGCCTGGTCCGTGCTGCCGACTCCTCGGCCAGGCCTCTCACGGAGGAAACGCACCTCCAAGAGTGGTGCTGCGGAAAGGCGCCCTGCGGGCCTGCTCCCCGACGCCCGCACGCCCGCGGGGCTCCGCTCGGCCAGGCCACAGGGTTGGGTGCTCGCACGCGGGCCCATCGCGGAAGCACTCCGCACGCAGAAGAACATGGGGAGACAGGAGGGAGAGCGCGCGCGAAACGCTTCCCGAGAGCGGGCGGCGCGGCGGGGCCGGGCCTGGAACCCACGCCCTGCAGCCGCTCTGCGCACCGGAGGCAGGCGCGGGGGTACTGGAAGCGGAGAAGGATTTGAGGTGATGGGGTAGTGCGCAGGAAGGAGCAGAGGTCGGGGGAGGGGGCGGGGTGGACCAGAACGGACAGCCGGAGGGACGCGACCACCGGAGGGGTGGGTCAAAGCGTCTTCATGGGAAAACAGCAGGGTGTGAAGGAAGATGTTTAGATAAAATTGCCCAGGAAACTGGATTCTTGCACCAATAAAAACAACTACAAGGGGCTGGGAAGGTGGCTCAGTGGTAGAGCGCTCGCCTTGAGCTGAAGAGCTGAGGGACAGCGCCCAGGCCGAGTTCAGGCCCACGACCGGACCCCAAAAATAAAACTACAAATACTTAAAGACGTGTGGCGCGCAGGCGTGGGTCACTTAGACTTGCGGTTCTCTGGAATCAGTGGCTTCTAAAGACCAAGATGCGGTTTCTTTCGGTGGTAAGAGCAGTTTCCCGCGGCTTGTCACGTCGGCAGCCTCGCGGAGCGTGTGCGGGAGGAGTGATCAGCGTGGTTCGTGCTGTGCGGGCGCGGGGCAGTGTGCTGACGCGGCTGTTTGCCTCCGCAGATGACGAGGACGGCATGGACGGCGTGGACAACGAGCGGCGGCCACACTTCCCGCAGTTCTCCTACTCGGCCAGCGGCCGGGAATAGGCCTCCTCCATCCTGCTGCTTCCCCGTCACCCTCGGTTTCTTACTGGACACGATCCTGGACCTGTCGCCAGTCTCGCCGTTCCGGACAGCGGGGCGGCGCCACCCGCCGCCCAGGTCTCCACCGCGCCACCGTCGCCCCGTGAACACGCGCACACGCACACGCACACTCTCCAGGTTTTGTTTTTGCATGAAATTGTATTTCAGTCCAAGGTCTCATGCTGTTGCTGCTACTGTCTCACTATGATAGCAACTTCGAGAAGTAAGTTCCGTCTTCGGGAGTCATGAGCCGCCCTCGTTCATTCGTGCACCGGTTCTCGTTCGGTCTCGGAGTTTTCGCGTCTCCCTGCGGTGACGGCTCCACGAGACGCACTGATTCTAGGTACACTTTTTAACTTTCTAGAAGATAAATTAACTAATTAGACGACGAAGATGTAGTTCATATTTCAAAGCAGCTGTTGTGGAAGGACGGTGAGCGCGGGTGCTGGCGTTGAGCCGACTCGCCGGA